GCCGCCCCGCAGGCGGTCCCCGCCCGCCTCGCCGCCGCTCCGTGGCTCCCTGTAACCCGACCCAGCAGGGCTCGCCGCCCGCTTGCCGCTGCCGCCGCCTCTACTCCCTCCTCCTTCTCCTCCCGGCGAAGGCTCCCGGACAGGCGGGGGCAGGCGGAGGAGATCCTTCGGGGAAGCCAAGGGCACGCAGGCGGGGCGGAGGGGAGCCCCTGCGGGCCCGGCGCCCCGCGGAGAGCGGTGTCGGTGGTGGCGGGCAGGGCCGGCGGGCGCGGGGAGCAGCGCTCGGCCGCGGGCCGGGAGCGGCGCCGGGGCCCCTCGGGCGCCACATCCCTGGCGGCGCGGCGCCCCCTGGCGGCCGCACATCCTGCAGGGCGCGGGGCCTCAGCCGCGGTGCTCCGGGGCGGCCCCAAATAATCGCGATTTAACTGTTAACCTATCGGACCCAAGCCCTGAGGGGCCGAAAGGCAAGAGCGAGGGTCGTGCCTCCTCTTTCTGCCAGGTGTCCTGTGTTCCAGCCAGCTGCCCGCCCGGGTGCCGTCCCATCTGTCACGGTACCCGCATCCCGAAGGCTGCAGCGGGATGTGCCCGGGTCCTGTGTGAGCTGGTGGTCAGTCCCTGCGGTAAGGGGAGAAACCCTGTCATTTTGGAGTTGCACATCCGTGGCCTTTGTTAACCGCAGCAAGTTTTAAAATATGACATAACAGCCACTTGCACGTGTGGACTATGCACAGAGCTTCTAAGAGAAGCCCTATTCTTCGTATAAGTATTTCATTTGACAAGTCCCTTTTTGTCTAACTTTCGACTATTAATACGATTTAGGGCCCTGCTTAACCCAGAAACTACAACTGAAATATGTTGTAATCTTGCCAAAGAGATTCTTCATTTGTGGTCTAACCCCTAACCCAGTCTGTACCTGTGCTGCAAGAGAGCACTTCTGGAATTGAGGATTGCAATCCAAATATTTGCAGAAGCCGTCCTATCCTTCTCTTAAGTGACACATTTTATAATTGGGTTTTTCTGAGAGCCATGTCATGATGGCTGCACAAAGTCTTTCTGTCAGCTTCATGACTACTAGTAAACTAGTAAAGTTCCAATGCACACAGGAAGTTGAACCTGTTGTGATAAGGGTAATCTAGACACTGTATAATAAAATGCACTAAATTTCAGCGTGTGAAAAGCCATGAATCTCTTGCTGCTCTTTTGCTACTCTAGAAGGAATAAGTGTAAAGCCAAATAAAAGTTCCCAATGCTGAGCTCAGATCATTATTTGTTGGTGACTAATGTCCACTAAGGTTACAACCTATGCCCTTGCAGATAGAAATACCAAGCACAATGGTTTAAAACTATAAATAACACTGATTCCTGCAGAAATGTGGAATAAAGTATCAAAGACTTAGACTTTCTCTGGAGTAAAACTGTTAATTTAAGAAAAAGAAGTAGTGGAGAACCTTTAATGATAAAAGGCATTGTTTCAGCAAGGAAAGAGAAATACTGAAAAATCTGCAATGAAATGCATAATTGTTTCGGCACCTCATACTGCTTCCTTTAGAGGGGAAAACTTAAATATCACTGTCAAAAACTAAAAGCCAGAAGTACTGTGTTACACACCAGAATACCTCCAGTGATTTAGAGGGGCACTTTTCATCCCTCCTTCCTTCTGGTTGCTCCAGAGTTTACAACCAAACTACCCTGTCACCAGAGTTTCCCAGTTACACAGCCCCAGAGCAGGCAAAGCACTCTGGAGAGCCAGCACCCAGAGGTGATAAAAGGGTGCCTTGATACTTCGACAGCTTAAAATAGGTGCAGATGTGCAAAGCATTTATTATTCAGTAGAAGAAATTGCTGACACACAATGAGAATCTGCTGTAATCCACCTGGAAAGTACCCTCTTAAACAGGAGCTTGTTGCCATCACAGAAGCAAAAGCAAAGCTACATCAGATCCCTGCAAGGGAGAGGAGCTCAGGGAGCTCCCCAACCACCTCAGAGGACTGCAAGTGAGGGAAGGAGTTGATGAGGGACACTGAGCAGGATGGAGAAATGGGGAACCAGAGAAGGAGAGAGAAAAGGGGACATGAGATGAAAAGGAGGTAAGGAAAAAGGAAGTGAGACAAAGATTAGGAGAGCAAAAGGTTTATACAGAAATGGCACAATGGACTAGAGACAATAAAAAACACATTTTTATGAAAGGGGGGAGAGACTTGCAAATTTGGCTCCAACTAGAAAAAACACCTTCTAATTCTTTGATGTCAAGAGAAGCATTTTCAGACTTAGAAGTTTAGTGTGTGGTTGTGCACTTCCCTGTACCTGGGACTTAATGAAAGTTAGGCCAGGCCAGGCCTAAAGGAAAGGAAAAAAGAAAATATCATCACACATACTTTTTTTCTTCTTGCCAAAGAGACCATGGGAAAAATTACATTAGATATTAGGAAATTAAATACTCAGCATATTTAGTTTGGAAATAGAAAAAAGATTAAACTCTCAGAAGCCTGAGATGAAACATGGAAAAAAAGGAAAGAGATAAAGAAGATGTAACAGGTTTACTTCAAACAAATGTGGATTTTATTCATTTCCCTTTCTCAGCTGCCAAAACATCTAGCTACATATTATAAGTGTGAAGTGATTATTTGTGAACTAATTAAGTAATGTGATTAACATGGTTCTCAAGCAGAGGTGCTGCTTTACACACAGGGATGTAGCTGCACATTTTGCCACACATTCCTTGGTGAATGTGTTTGACAAGGCAGCTGATAAGCAACTTCTGTTTCAGGCTGTGAAGTGGCTTCACTTCCACAGTGGATGTAAAAAATGACGAGTAACCAGAGACAAGAAGAGATTCAAAAAAGCAAAATGTTGCTGCAGGAGAGTAGAGTGATGCTGAAACATTCCAAGACTTCATTTGTAGTTGTCCTTAAAATACAACGATGTACTAGGTATTACTTAAATTAAATTAATTAAAAATAAAAAAAAAAAGGGTGTTCTTGCCTGGTTCTTTTCCCTGCATGATCTATCTTGCTATTTAGTTCAGATCAGGAGAGACTTGACAGACTTTGCTATCTGCAGCTCTCTCTATGTTGGTTTTGAAGGCATTTTCTCGGGACAGTATATGAACATTGCACTTTCAGCATTGCCTTCATGCATTTGCATGCTGCTCTTGAAAATGCCCAACTCTTTTGCAGTCTTCTGCCAAATGGGATTTGATTATAGAGAAATATAATCAATTCTTGCTTGTATGCTTGCTCTGCTTTTAAATGTCTATGGCACAATAACTATTCCATTTGCATAGTGAGAGAACATTTGCCTACTAAATAACAAGGAGTTGCTCTATTTATATGGTTCTTCCCAAACCTGGAAAGCATCATAAGAATGATAGGCATTACTATTTAAGAATGATCCAGTGTAATTAAACTTACAGTGGAATGCACAGCAGTTCATTTCTACTACTGCATTTTCTCTGTAAGCTTAAATGAACATTCAGTTATACTTACATTACTTACTTTATTTATATTTCAATTCAAAAAATTAAAGCATTCTTGGATTTCTGAAGTGAGTTATATTAGTACTAAGCAGGGGGAAAGAGAGGGACTTGTCAGCTCTGCCTTTTCTCCCTTTTATTTGACCTAAAATATCAGGTATACCTAACAAAAAATGCCAAATTTTAGACCACGGTAGTACTACTGAAAAATAGACAAGTTTGATTACGGGATATTCTCTCTGTTCCTTTGACTGAAGATAAGATTTTTGATCAAGATCAGCTGATCTTTCCATCCGTCCATCCATCCATCCAGCCATCCATCCATCCATCCATCCATCCATCCTTTCACCCATCCTTCCATCCATGTACATATACATCTACATCCCCCTCCACTGTAGAAGCAATAAACTCCATATTGACTTTTTCCTTATACGTGGAGAGGGTAACTTGGCAAAAACAAGATTTTTCAGAACTGGTGGCTGAAAATGCTTATAGAAACTACAGCATGACCACCACCCCAAAGTACACTGGCTGTTACAATCCCTGTCCTGGCAGCACGTGTGTGACAGCCTGCCCTCACATCAAGGTCTGGAGAGGGTATCTGAGATTCCCCCATATTAGACAGTCATAGAAAATCCATTCATTTGGCCTCTGGATTATTTTCAATGCCATCTTAAAAGACTCGCTAAGGAGGATGTGTTACTTTAATTCCAATTGACAGTATTTTAATACTGAGGGGAAAATGGTTGCTTGTCTTGTGTTTAACCACTACACTGATATCAGGAAAGAGAATGACATCCATGTACCTCTGCTGTCTCCTTACATGCACCTCTGCTGTCTCCTTACATGCATGTTGGTCATGTAGGCCACAGGTCAGAAAGATGTGTGTGTGACAGTGCAGTGGAATGGCAGCAGATATTCAAGCAGACACTTCAGCTGTCCTGCCTTACCTTCCCCAACAGCCCAGACTTGCTCTTCTGTCCCCTCCCTTGCACCTTGCCTGTATAATCAGTGTGTCTTTATGAAACTCCTACAGCCAAAAAATAATCCAGAAAAAAAAAATCAATCAATTTTGACCATAAAAACGACAGAT